AAATATGAAACCAATGTTTTTATTCCATTTGCCTAAAAATCCTTATCAATCCTCGAAATCAATCAATAAATTGTTAGAAGAAATTTTCAAGGCCTTATTTTCAAAAGTGTAATCTTTTCGAGAGAATTTATAGAGTGGCAAAACTACAAATCTCGGGAATATTATAGCATAAAAGGCAAAATTTCGAAACGCAGTTAATTAAATTTTGTTAAATCAACGTCATTCTTTGTTACATGCCGTTTAGATTCGTCATGTAGAAGAATGCGACTCTTTCTGTTGATCAACGCTGCTTTCCTCGCATTTGCAATTCTTGATGGACCATTTGCTTTCATATCATTAGAGCAATCACTCCCAGTAGATTATATTCGACAATCAGAGGGAAGCCCATATTTCAACATTAATCGGATAGATTTCGAATAGGACGAATAGGTTCATCCTTGTTGATTCGTAGAATTTTATTTTATTTCACCTAATAAATTACAAATTGCATGCCATAACTAAAAAGACACTCCGAATCGTTTTTGCAAAAGCAATGAAAAATACTTTTCCAAGCATCTGCTCACCTAACGCTCATTGGTACCAGTAGACAAAGCCATTTTGAAGCCAAAATAAATGCTATGAACCACTAAATCTGAAAATCGCTGCAACTGAAAAATGTAACGCTCTTTCTAAATGACCATCATGAATGAATGAACAGCGTAGGCAAAAGGATTTCTCATTATCTTAAGAGATTGGCTTGAAAAATATTTTAATGCCTTGAGCATTTCTTCCTTGCCTTCTAATAGCATTCACCACTTATTTACTGAATAATGTATTCGGATTCGAGATATGACTAATCGCAGAACAGCATTCACCAACAATTTGGATCTCATTTTAATAAACGATTTATCAATTTTCATTAAGAAATCGAAATGAAATAATTCAAGCATTTTTGATTGAGTTTTATAATGATAATAATAAAAAAAAATAAACAATTTTTTATTCTAAAATTATTATTTATTTGTTAATAGAAAAATTTTCTAGTTTTATAAAATATACGTTAAATTGAATTAATTCAATATATATTCACTAATATTTTCAATAAATAAACTTGCAAATAAAATTTCATTTTATATGCAAATAAACATAACTTGCATGACGATACGGATAAATGTTAAATTAAAATGCCATGAAAAATTTTTGTTATTTTTAATTAACTATTTATGAGCCAAATTATCGAAAAATTTCTCATCAGTTGCTGATTTTATATCATCGAATATCCATATTACATCCATCCATATATATATTTTTCATATATATCTATTTTTATATATTAAAAAAAGAAGTGAAGGATGGAAGAACTTGGAAGAATGCGGAAAATGAAGATCAAAGTGATTTTAATATATATTAACTAATTGCTAAGAGCTATGGTTCTTAAAGTTAATATAGCTCCAACAGATTCCAGGAATATCCAGAAAAGGGTATTAAAATATTGCACAGAGCCATTAAACTGCCAAGCTTCTTATAGAGGATGTGGAGTTGAGAAAGACTTATAACACCTATGGAGAAAATAAGATTTCTGTATAGATTTTGCTCATTTATGACAATTTGGCAATTTATCAATAACTTACGTCTAATTTTATATTTCTAAGGAAATAAATCGAAATTAATGTAATTAATTAATAGATTAACAAAATAAGCCTTTTGTTTTCCTTATAATATTCGCCACAAACAAAATTCTTTTCGTGCATATTTATTTATAAATTTTTCCTTTATGATTGATATAAATAAAATATTAAATCCGCTAAAATTAAAAATAAAAGGAAAATTAGAAATAAAAACTAAAATCTATGACGGAAGGAATTTTTTATATCAATCATAAATTATAAAATTATATATACGTCATTGAAATGATTAAAATACTAATCCATCAAAAATAATTCTAATTTTAAAAAATCAAAATTAAATTTCTTCTTAACGAAAAAATTATGCGAAAAATTAATTAATGATTACAGTGACAAGAATGATAATGTTGTGATAGCTATGATAAGAAAGGTATTGCGATAATGACGGTGATAATAAAAATAGTAATAGCGTGATAATGATGGTGATAGTGATTATAATAATGATGACAGCGTTGTGATAATAACAATGATGGTAAAAAAAAGAAAATAAAGAGAAATTCAAAATTTTATTAATTAATTATTAATTATTAATTTAAAAAATTTTTAAATTTCCAAATATATATGAATTAATTAAAAAATTTGCTATCTGCTTTTTTTCTTCCATTGAAAATCAATGTTTATTGACGAAAACCGACTTAGAAAATAAGCTTTTTTTCTTTTAGAAATGAAATGAAGCAAATGTTGACAAAATGATAGCGTCAGAAAACGTCAACTTTATTTTCTTCAGGAAAAAATCCTCTTTTTTGTTTTTTATAAATAATAAATGCTGTTTGGGCAAATAAAAAAAAGAGAAGGGACAAATATTAATGAAAATTATATTGAAAATAATCAAAAATTTCATGAAAAATTTTCTTTTTCTTTTACTTTCTTGTGTAAATTAAGTTTTTTTTTCTTAGGCTTAAAATAATTGATAAAATATTGATAAAATAATTTAATTTCTAAGAGAAGCTTTTATTTCGTTTTTTTTTTTGCAAATATATTTATTTATTTTCGATTAACTAATAAATATAGCAACTAACAACTAAACGAAATCGGATAATCGAAATTTTTTCGAAATTATATATATCGAAATTTTTTTTCAAAATAAAACCGCCATAATAATCATTAAAATATCTTTAAAAATAAAATTAGATATGATTTGCATAAAATTTCTTTCAATGAAATTTTTTTATTTTTTAGGTTTTTAAAATTTTTATTTGCACTTTCCATTGTTACCGTTGTCAATTTCCCATAATCTATAATTTTTTTTATTTCCTTTAGTTCATAAAAACTGTACTAAATAAATAAATGTAGTTCACAAGTTTGCTTTCCCTTTGATTTATTATTACTATTCCCCAAAATCCCCGTAGGAGGATGATCAAAACAAAATTGAGAAGTACCATTCGAATTTCACCTTTAATGATAGATTTTCTCCTCTCGTTGAAGAACTATATTAAGCTGATTAAAGCCAATTGAGAAAATACTCGACTCTCACATTTCAAGATGGTGGATCGGTGATGAAAGAGTGAATGAGATGAATCAAAAATGGCTAAGTTCGAATATGACCGGCACATCACACTTTATCAGGCCGAACGGCGAAAGCAATGGGCATGGAACTATATTGTTACATTGGGTTGTTCGGAACGCCGATGCTGAGGTTCCATACCATGTCTAATTTTGTCCTTTAAAATTCCGTTGACTCTATTGCTGGTGACTCATATCTTTACTTCTATTGCCAAATTATTTCTTAAAAAAAATCCTTCAAGTTGAGTGATATGAAATGAAATATTTGATGTAGATTTCTTTTATATTCGTCTATAACTCTTTAATCCATTATGCTCCATTCGTCTACTGGTCCATTCTTTTCCTTCTAACAGTCACCATCATCACCATCTTTGATTTGCTGCCTCGTCGAATCAGATTTTGCAATGCACAGAGACACTTAGGAATAGAAATACAAGTGAGAATGAAATGGAACTTTTTAATTCGAAGTACTTATAAGCATTATCTGCTATAATTGTACACTTATGTTTTTTTGTCATTTATGTTTATCATAATATGTTTTTCATTCTAAAGTGATGTTTTATGACGTTATAATTGTCATAATTATTTTCATTTGAATGGTAAAAATATTGAAATCGAGAATTTTTAAATAATTAAATAATTTTATTACCAATGAATTTGATAAGACGAAGAAGGGAATTCAATTTTTGAGCTGATATGTAGTAAATAAATTGTTATTTATAGAAGCGAGAATTGAACAAAAATTAATTTTCCGAGAAGGTCTGAAAAACAAATATCTGAAACAAAGTACCATAAGTTTCCATTTTAATGGTACTAATCATTCTATTTATAGTATTCATCAAATAATTACCATATTTTATATAATAAAGAGGATAGGAAAATTTTATAAAACCTATTTTTAAAGCATCTTAAAGCACTTAATTAAAAGTTTTAGTAAGCAATTTGAGTTTTTAGTGAGCAAATCCAAATTATTGATATTACCTGCGTCTACGTAAAATTCCGAGAAATTATTTTAAAAAGTCAACATTACGAATATTTGTATATATAGAAGCGAGGTTAGAAGATGATTTTGGACATGTAAAATGTAATATTTTGCATTCCTCAGCCCATAATTTAATTTATGGTTCCTGAAGCCAGAAGCAATTATCACAGCCAATGTATTATTTGTGGTTTTAAAGAAGAAAAATCCTTTGGTCGTTTGAAAAAATAAATTTTATCATCATGACTAGAAACTGCTGACGACTATTATTAATTTACCGCAAAATATTGATGTTATCACTTGTTTCACTAATTTGCTCTATAAATAACACCAAAAACTTTCTGTTACCCCTATTCTAACCACAAAGAAATTAAAAAGTACACCTAAATGAACCAAAAGGAAATCAAATGTGACTATGGAAATATATATATATATATATATGCATTTAAGTATATAGTTTGATATATTTCCAGTGATTCGCTTTTAAATCACTAATATTTATAGTCGATTAGCCGAGGGTTTTTTTGGTTGTCAAGGAGAAAATTTGCGCACAGTGCTGAAATTTCCGGTAAACCAGAAATGATTATTTCCAATCACAAAAATTAGCAAAATTGAGCGATAGTTGAATTTCTTTACCGAAAACCGTGTTGATAGTTAGAAATTATTGAATCCTATTAGCAGATATATATTTCGATCTCGCCAGTATTCTTAAGCTAATACTTAAGCAATTAAAAACTTCGAATATTGGTACTTCTAATCATCAATATTGAATTTTTGCTTAAAATTTTCGCTTATTGAAAGAAAAAAATTCTTGATTTCAGGATGTACTGTTCATGAAAATTTATGTGAAAAAAATGAAATTTGTGTTTCAGGTAAGTAACATTCTTTAATATTCATTTAATATTAATCGTTCTATTGTTTTAATCGATTATTTTCTCTTCATTTTTCAATTTTTAGATAAAATTACTTAACATTTCGAGAAAAAAAAATGAGAATGTCTTGCTTGGCAATTTTATTGTCTTATTCGCTTACGATTGCTTTTCAACTGAAAAAAAAACTGAAGTAGAAATTAGTCTATTTAAATGGTAAAAGAGAATAATAATGGAATGCAATAGAATGGCTCAGTGGGCTGTCGCTCCCATTTCAGAGCGCCAATGTTCGAGTTCTATTCATTGCAGCAGCTGACGACTCACCTAAACTTTTCTGTGGTCCATCAGTTTATTCCTTGGTGAAACTTGACTGGTTTAATAAATCAGTGAAGTGAGCTAAAAAAGAAAGAAAACTAGGAAGGAAAGAAATTTATTGCAATAATCGACAAAATTGGAAGGAAGAAAAAAAGTTGCGAAAATTTTACTCGAATTTCGCATTCAAGATTTTTAAATTAAATTGAACCTTATGCTCCACTTACTTTGCAGCACCACTGCTTTTATCTACAGGCCCACTATTATTCATTTAAGCGTATAAATTGAAGATTGTTTGACAAGAAAATAATAATCTGTTGGTGATAAAGTCAGGCGCTGCTGACTCTATCACCATTCTTTATTCTTTTTTATTTACAATATTATATTGAAATGGCTCAGTGGGTTGTTGTTCATTTCTGAGCACTAATGCTGAAGTTTTATTCCCCACAGGAGTAAACTTGCCCCCCAAAGATCCGAGTGATACTAGCGATTCACCTATACTTTTATATCGCCAAAGAATTCCCTGGCTTATTCATTAGTCTAGTGCGACAAGCCAGCAGAGCGAGTCTAAACCAGTAATGGTGAAGAATTGGATTGTTGGATTGTTAAAAAAAACGCACTATTTTAATTGAAATGCTAAATTTCAGCCAGAGATTAGTTAAATATGCAAATTTTTTCACATCAAATTTTATGGATTGCTTAGGAGTTTAAAGTTATTCGCCTCTAATCTAAAGAAAAAAAAATTATGTTATGTTGACTTTAAGCCAATAAAGCTAAAATCCAATGAATTAAGCTAATCATTTTGTTCAAATGCCTATATTCAATTCAGGGATGGAGAGAATTTAAAAAAATTTCAGATGGCTTGTTTGGTGAATGCAGCGATGGCCTAGTCCCAGTTTTAACATATTTCAACGACCTTGATCCCATTGAAATCGAACTCTTAAATGATCAACTTCTTCAACTTAAAACAAGTGGCAATGATTGGAAAAGCTCTAAAACTCAATGCGTACTCATTTATTTCAAGCTTGCAGTTATTTTTCAATTGAAATACGATGAAGATTTTTGTGAGGTTCATAATCCAGCCAATATTTGGCAATTACTTCAGGTATTCTTATCATTCTAATCACTTTATCATCTACTTCTCTCAAGAATATATATGTATAATTGCTCTGTTCGATTTCGATTAATAATCTCATACCTTTTTTTTATAAACATTTAATTTCTTATCACTTCTTATCACTTTTAAAATATCTAATTTTAAAAAAATTTAGTGCGAAAAGAATTTTTTAAAAAAAACGAAATTTTCTATCGACTTTTTTTTTAAATAAAAGCATTAATCAGACTGCCAAATTAATCTATAAAATTTGCCAAAAAATAAAAATAGATTTCTTAGCAACAGAACATATATATATATAACAAATATATCGATTATAATATAAGGGTTTAGTGAGGTGAAAAATTTTGAGTGAAAAAATTTTTGAAAAATTTTCTTTTATGAATTTTATAAATCGAGTAGTTTTGAAAAACTTATTGAATACAATAAGTTTTAATGAACAAATTATTCTTCGCTTCGAATCAAGAAAAAAGAAAAAAAACTCTTTAAAATTGAAATTTGAAAAAATTAAACGAAATGATTTAATTTTGAAATTACAGGCATTTTAGATAAAACAAATGCATTTCATCTTTTTAGATAACAATAAAATATCAGTGAAAATATTTTAGCAATAAGAAAAATTTATTCAATTCTCAAAATCAACTGCTATATTCGAATTTTGCTTTTTAATAATTTCAATAGATACGAAAAAAAACGTGCTTGATGCTTGAAAATAGCTGAACGAACTAAAACGAAAGAATCTTTTCTGATAAATGATAAAAACAAATTTATACCTAACTGTCGCAGTGTGAATGCTATAGGCAATATCTATATTACTAATCTCATTCTCATCAAAACTTATTAGATTCAAGATGGGAAGATTGCTTTGCTTCATGGAAGATTGCATAAAGATCATAAATTTCTACATATCCACTCTTGCAGGGAACAATACTCCACCATTGGCCTTCCGAATTGAGCAACAACCGACTAAAGCCATTCTATGCCTCTAGCATTAAGCAAATATTAGATAAGTTAGTATTAGCCAATTAAGAAAGAACGAATTCACTAATTAATTTTTCATTTGAGTTCATAATTTTTTTTTGAAAAGAAAAATTCTTAATGTATGATATTTAGATTGTAAAATCATCGTTTTCATCCAAAGATTTCCAACGAGTTGGTGATTATATTGAAAACAGTGCGGAGAAATTGCCGGATAATGAACTACTCGAAAGTTATGTCGAGGAAGTTGCGAGTGAAGAACCGCAAACAGGTTAAGCAGACTTTCCAAACTCTTATACTCTTATTATTTAGGCCTAAATTCTAAATCCTAAGCCTGCGATTTGGACTATGGATGACTGGCTTAATGAGATTTTTGAGCAAATGTCACCAAAATCAATTTATATTCGTATTTTTATTCCACATTGAATAAAGAGGCATAAGAAAGAAGTTGTAGAAAATAACAACAAACCAATAATAAACCAATCAGCTTCACATATGTAAAAAGACTGTAAAACATAAAAATATAATAAACGAGTAGATTATGAGCTATTAAAATCAAGAAAATTTTGTTATTAAAATTGTAATATTATCAAAATTTTACAAGAGTCTAAAATTTAGCGAATGACGATCCACAAGAAATAATTGAGAATACCGAAGGAAACCAAGCATCGCCATCCACAACGGATGATATAGATCGTATATCAGATTACATGAATGATGACAATGTAGATGAAGAAATGAGCCGGTCGATCGATGTTCCCGAAATTAATAACGATGAACAGCTTAAACAGTTTATTAAAAAATTCCTAATGCGTACTGAAGGTTTTTTTTATATCAAATTGAAGAATGCAAATTTTTTTAGCAAAAAAATCTCAAATCTCTTTTTTATAGCATTAAAATGATTTTAAATTATGATTTAAAGTTAGCTTTTTCTTTTCTGAAATTACTTAAAGTTTCAAATTCAATTAGTTCCACTTTCCACTTAGACTGAATCCTTTCACCACGAAAGTCATTTGAAGTTGTAGTGAAGAGAGCTGTAGTAGTAATAAATAATTTTAAGTTAAGAATTAGGCTTTTTGCTTAGTACAATAATGATTAAAAATAATAAAATATATATTTCATGAAAATAGAAAATTTTTTACATGAAATATTATGGTGACAAGTAATTTTCGAAAAAAAAGAAAGAAATCATTTTTTATTATTATTTATTACTACTACGGTTGAGTTTTTACTCGAAACATTTTTTTTTTATTAATTTATTTATTTTTTGTTAATTTCAAATCGAATAAATTAGTTCCGTCTTTGATACTTTAATAATAATAAGAAATTTAGATGCAAATTCTGTCGGAGAGGAAGAAGAAATGGTACCATTGAACGTAAATGATGACGAAGAACCACCACTTAAAAAGGATATTGAACATTTAGGCAATCCTAATATAGGTTGCTAAATTGCTAAATATTGTTATCTATGAATGGAAATGGTCTTTTTGCGAATAAAAATTGCATCTTTATAATCGTTTTTAATTTTTTAAATATTTTTTATATTTTTAATATAATTTTTAATGCATAATTTTTTCTATAGGATTGGAGAATACCGAACATAAAATCGTAAAAGGCAGTGGACCATTTCAAAAAGTTGAAGCTAATCGCGTATACTTAAAAATATCAGACGATCTCAACGATGAGCAATTTTATCGTCTAATTCAATATCTTAATCAGATTATTGCAAAACCAAAAAATCTCATTTTTAGCGATTTCGCGTAAGTTTTCTTTTTTATCTCATCCTAACCAGAGATTAATGCGAAAAAATATTTATAACTTAATTTAATCTAAAAAAAAAAAAAAAAAATTCAATTGCTATTTTCGATTTTTGATATTTCATCAATTTTTTATCATTAATTTTTTATCACTTTTATTTTTAATAATTCGCTTGTATATTTAATAGAATTAATGATGATCAATTGTCGTTCGAAGTAAGTCGTTCATTTTCTGGACATCCACGAAGTTTGAAACGACTTGACGCGATCGCTGACGTTGCTGAAGCAGTTTGTTAGTTAATTCTATATTTCATATTTTATTTTATATTCTATTCTATTTTAAATGAATTATTTAACTATATTCTTATATTCTTTAATAAAATATTCTTCGACGAATAATTTACTGGTAATTTTGTTAAGTTATGAAGTCCATTTAAATCCTTAATTAGTCTCAATCATTAACATATTTTGCAAACTTTTAAATTTTTACTGCTTAATGAGACGTTTAATAATATTTTTAATTGAACTCAAATTCATTCTTTAGTTAACACATAATTATAATTACTCATAATTTGAGTTCGAGTGACAACTCGTACCATTCATCGAATTTTTCAATTCTAATTTCAAACGAAGAATATTTATAGACTTTTTGATAAATTAAAAAAAAATTGCAGCTTCGCAACTAATTCGATAAATTCTTTAAGATAAAAGAAGAAAAGATATTGAAAGCTTATCGGGTGTGCATGTTGATGAAACTGGAATTGGCAGCGGCCAGGTAAAACTTTTCTCCGGAAATCCGAAAATCCTGGAATAAAATCATTAATATGATTGGATGAAATTAAAGCATAGATAAGAAAAAAGGAAAGAACGAATTAATTTGGGCAATCTGAAATCATGATTGGATCTTAGATATGTATTATGTATTATTTCATCTCTAACAGCAAAGATTCGACACTATTGGTGCGAGCTAAGTCGCCATTATAAAACGTATTGTTGTTGTACGACTTGACAATTCCTGACCTCGACTACTAATAATTCAGTGATTTTTTTTCTAGAGGTTTTTCCATGATAAAATGCTGCAATCCAAAATCACCTTATCATCTAATCAGATTCTAAAAAATGATAATAATAGGGATAATGAAATATATTTTTTGAATTTGTTTCGAGTTTTGTCTTATCTATTTTTGTATTTTATTTTGTTTAAATTTTGTTATTTATTTTATTTTATAAATTTATAAATATAATATAATAAATATAATTTATAATTTAATTTTGTATTTATAAATTTATTATATATGTTATAAAATATATTATATAATATATATATATATATATTATATTTAATTTATTATTTTAAATTTATTATTTTATATATTTTAAATTATTTATAATTATACTTAAAAATTATATAATTTTACATAGTACTTTAAATTATTTAAAATTATTTATGATATAAATTTTTGTATATTCTTTCATTTATATATATATATATATATAATGGAGTTTTGTTAATTTTTATATATTTTGGATAATTGGTTAAGAACAATTTTTTTTAGCTACAGTGAATAAAAAAATTAAAAATAATTAATGGAAATAAGAAATTTTTAAGAAATACTATTGTTTACAAAAATATCCAATATTCTAATATTTATCTAGTAAATTTTTATTTTTTTATAATATTTATAATTTTAGGGTATAATAAATTTCAATGATTTTTCTTAACAAATAATATTTTTTAGGATGCAAATTTGCAATTTTTATAATTTTCCATTTTTGGAAAAACTAGAAAAATTAGAAAATCGTTAATTGGAATTTATGTAACTGAAATAGGCGATATTTACGAATATTTTTCTCAAAATATTATAAATTAATTCAATTTACTCGATTAAATTTCTTAGTTGAGTTGACTTTTCAGCGATTTTTCGCCTCATTCATTCGTTGCATTCAGTTATTTGATCAATACATTCATTAAGCTAATATCTTCCTCTTGTGCATCTAAAGCATTTTTTGCCACAGTATTTCCGCTAACCCCGCTTTATTGACGATTAGACTACGATCGAGGAGACAAAGCGAAGTCAAGTGGAAGATGTAAATAGTTCCTCCATCGTAACCAGTTTCCAATTTCACTTTACTTGATTTTCATCAAAAGGCAAAGAAGTAAATCCAATAAAATTGTCCTTAAATATGCGATTGGAGGAGCATATTACGCCATTTAACAACTCAATGATAAATATAATTCATTTTAAATTTTATTAATTTAATCTTAGTATTTTTAGTAATTTAAAGAAAATAATAAAAAAATGTCCATTAGGATCGGATTCTTCTCTTACAGGATTCCGTACCACTAGAAAATAACAATAGAGATGATTTATTCATACCAATACTAACGATATGTGCACTGACGATATTAGTATTGATAACGGTTATGGCCGTGCATCAATTTCGACAAATGCAACGAAATCGAAATGCGACACAAATTTCAAAATTAGCCGAACAAATCGAAAGCAAAACTTCTTCAACATATCAGGTTTATTTCCTTTTTTTTGTTTTTTCATATTTTTCAAAAAAATATTTTTTTAATGAAATTTATTGCCTAAAAATTAATTCATTGATAAAAAAATTTTCGTATCTAAATTGTGAATAAATGGAAAAGGATTTTTTAAAATTAATAATTTAAGAAAGAGAGTGAAGAAAGATTTAACGAAATTTTTTCGAAGATTCTTTTTTTATTTTTTGTATTAATATTGTATTGTATTTTATATTTTTTAATATTGCTCACTGTAAGAGTAGAATGGCTCAGTGGCTTGTTGCTTTTATTTTAGATCACTAACGCTGTGGTACCATTCCTGGTAAGAGAAAAAATCTATTTTTTATGAATTCGAGTATTGTTAGTGATTCACTTGGACTTCTATCACCGTATAATACTCTCTGGTGAAATTTGTAGAATTCGAATAGCCAGCACAGTGAATCTAATCAGAAATGGAAAGTCCTTCAAAAAAAAAAAAATTATGAATAATTTCATAAGCGGTGTATGTAGCCTAGTTTATCATTATTATCATAGTTTATTATTATCAAGTTTTATAGTTCGACTTTTGTCCCTAATGAGAACAAATTTATTGAAAAATTTCAGCTATATATTCTGTCTGTAGGCAAAAGTGATACGAGCCTAGCCAGAAATGGCCAATAAATAATTTACTTATTATTATAGCCTATTTTATCGATAATCATCCAGCTTATTATACAGTTGATATGATTTATGTTAAATATTTTTCCTCCTCATTTTATTGGATGATTTTCATCTCATCAATTCCGATTGACAATTTTATTTCCATAAAGGCTATGCGCATCCAATTCATTCCATTACTCTTTATTCGCTAACTCTTTATTTTTTTTCTAAGTGTTGTTCAGTTAAAATACTTTTTATTTTTTAGCATTATCACTACTATTTTATCAATGTTTCTTATTTTTTTTACTTGGGGGAAATAAATCGTCGGAAAATATTAATGATCAAAATATTTCACCATTCACCTTTAACCTTTCATTTTATCTAAATTTATCTAAATTCATATTTTTATTTATAAAATGGTAAAAATTCGAGAAATAATTTCTCTCTTTCCTTTATTTTATTTTACTTTATATAATCGATTTTGAAAAGATTCACTTTGCATAAAACAAAGGATAAAAAGTAAAATCGCTTAAACAAATATTCATTTCAATTTTCGTTTAGTATATATTACAATATTCGATAAGATTATTTCATTATTTTTATTCTATAAAAATAATTCTTTTCTTTAATTTTTATAATTTTAATTTTAAGTTTTATACTTAAAATTTTAAGATAATTTATTAAAATAAAAATGGATGAATATAAATTGTTTATATTTATGGATGAATAATAAATTATTATTCGTAAACGTCCATTCGCAAATTCTTTGCGCTTGTCAATATTATTAAAATTTTAATAAAAAATTTATTGAATTTATTATTCAATATAAATAAATTTGATATTCGTTGGTTTGATACTATTCTTCTTCTAATAACTGTCATTGCTGGTTAAACTGGCTCAGCTGGCTCAATGGCTGACAAGAGCTTTCCAAGCTGCGTGATCTAATTCCATCATCGAGAGAGATAGAAGTCATTCTTTTTTCTATCGTCGTCTAAGTCCATATATTGCTGGTCCATTTATACGTTCAAAATCTTTCCTGACTATATCAGTTCAGATCTTGATTGGCCCACCTCACTTTTGACACCACCCATCATAGGGTTTAGAAAATAACGAAATATGTGTCAATTCTTGTGGCGGACGACGAAGGTGTCCTAACCAGCGAAGGCGACGTTTTTGATGGCACTGTTAATGCAAGTGGTATTTGAACGAAGGGTGGATACGATCATATGATATCTTGTCCGCTCGACGGATCAGTAAAATGTACTTTAGACAAAAGTAGTCAAAGGTAGTTATCCTCCACTTCTTAATATCCTCCACTCTCATTGGTCATGTCTCGCAGCCATATATCAAGAACGAGTAAATCGCAACTAGAGGGCTTTCGTTTTTGTATTTCACGTCAGGTCCATAAAAGTTCCCACCAATCGGGAGAACGCATTTCTATTTACAGTTATACGGCTTATAATTTCGTCTTTTGCTTGGCTATTAAGGTGGATCCAAAGTATTTATCGGCATTTTCTCAACCGGCAATGAATTCATAAAATTCTAAGTATTTTATCAGTTTCTTGTATGTTAAGGTTTTATTTTATATTAATCCTGATTCTCACTGTACTGCTGATATGTTGTTTAGCATTATTTGCATATCATCATAACCGTCAGCAAGAAGGGCTATAAAAGGGCTATGATACGGTACTATGGTCTGATTTGTACACTTCTTGAGTGCTCACAAACGATGTCCATTATTCAATCTATCGCCTAGTTGGATATTGTAGGGAAAAGGACATAACCTTGACGAACACCAGTTCTTATTTCGAAGGGATATGTCAATTCTTTATATACACAGACGTACGCTGATAAAATGTCTTTATAAGTCGAATGATCTTTTCTGGAATACTGTCGCATTTGACGAAGGCAGCCACAAAATCGATGAAACATGTAAAGATGGGTAAAATCTTTTATTTAAAGATGCAACATCCTTTTTAACGTGGATGTCTGGTCAGCGCCTCGGCTTGAATCCAAATTATGGCGCATATACGGTACCATAAGTCTATTGAGTAAAAGGAAAGCAAGAATTTTCTAGTAGTCTCGATAATTGTTGCATATGTCCTGCCACCTTTCTTGGGAACAACGAATGTATTACTAATGTCCGGAGCAACAGATGGCACATCATGGTTGAGTTTGATCTCAAAAAATTCCTTCCATCTTATGAGGTGATCCTTAACTCTTAACAGCACACCATTGTTATCTCTTACCATTTCATGATTTGAAATTAATCGAGATCAGTTATTCGTTCTCGAGGGACATGCGATGGTATATTCGACACTCTTCAACACCATACCTACTTGGTTTAGATCGTTTTTATCATCTGATAGAATCCACTTTATCAGATTTATCAGAATCTTAATCTTTTTGTCAGAATGATAACGCAAAAGAAAGGCAGAAAGATATGAGTTTTCAACAGCTATTAGTCGGAATTACTCGTTTCAAACTAAAACTAAAATAATAATTATCCATTCCAATATTATTCTCGTGACATTAGTTTATTTCATGATCACGCAAGCATTTTTCGTTCTTTTTTTTTTTTTTTTTGTTTTCTACAAATCTATAAATTTGAAATTAATTTATAAGGCGTTTCATATTTTCTTCATTCGATAGCGCAAATTTATTTATCGTCGGCATTTGTCAATTTTCGTTTATTAAAAATTCATGATTAAATTAAACAAGCTTGTCATGAAAAAAATTTTTTCTCCGACTTTTTTTTCTATTCATTTTATTAATTAACTAATAAAACTAAATAATTAACCAATAATTATTATTATTATTAAAATTACAGGAACTTTGTCGAAATCGTATGACATCGGATTGTTCTATCTCAAACGGAAATGATTTAAAGAATTCTGGCAAAATGTTATGGTACATTATTTTTTGCTATGCTTTTGATGTATTATAGAATTAATAGATTCGAAATTTATTAATTTTATAAAGAAAATGTCGAGCTTTTCAAATTTGAAGATAATCATAAATTATCAATCTCAGTTATCAGTATATTCTGCACAAATTACATATGCAAATTATAACTTAATATGGATTATCAATAAATAATTCATTTTAACAATAAATTCTACAAAATCGCTTATCGTCTAAAATTTAAAATTTTTTATGACTATTTCACTAAAAATAAATTTGATAATTGAAGAAATATGAATATGAATTTTTTTAATTTCATACTTTCTTAATTTGTTATGATAAATTCGCGTTGAATAAATCGCTCATACATTTCAAAAAACCGAAAATTATTGGAAAAAAACATTCTGATAATGATAGAAGTTTTAATAATAATAAAAATTTAGGTGCGAAGAACCACTATCCGATTGCAATATGGATATATCCACAGGGCATGTGATTTTAGTAAGCAAATTTTAATATTTATTTTCAGACGCTTAAATTTAATAATTTTAAAGTAATTTTAGGTTAAAAACTTCATACTTTTAAAACACTTTTAAAAAAATTTCAAAAAAAAAATAAAAATATTAAATGATATTAATGGAAATTTTTGAGAATCTACAGGAATTATGTTAAAAATTTTTAGCCTTAATATATTTAATAATATATTTTTTAAATATTAATGATATTCTTACGCATTTAATATTTTACTTTATATTTCTTCTTTAGCGAAAATTTTTTAATTAAATAAATGAAAAATATATTTTATGGAAAAAATATGGATTCAAATATATTAATAATTTTTATGTCGTTTAGAATTAATAACAAATTTTTCTAATTTAATATTCCATTAAAAATTTCTCGCTTTGGAATAAAATATAATTGATATATTATTTTTTTCTCCTCTTAATTACAGCTGTTTTTTTTCTCGTTTGTCTTATTGCACTGATTATTTGCAATGAGAAACGTTTTCCTAGAGAATCGGTTAGAAATAGGAAATACATAGACTCTCATAGAAATATTCTTTAATGGTTAATATATACGCTCATTGCTCAAAGAGCTCAAAGTCCGGACATTTATTATTTTTCCCTCAATAATACAATAAAAAATTTATTAAAAAATTTTTCCAATATCCTATCGATTGGCCGTATATTTTGAATAAATAATTTTCGAAAATTATTTTTTATCAAATAATATCGGCAAAAAATATAAAAAACAAAAAAAATTATTTAAAAGAAAAAAATCAGCTTTTTTTAACAAAAAATTATTTTATAGTCGTTTTTACAAGAAAAAAATCAGCTTTTTTTAAGAAAAATTATTTTATAGTCGTTTTTACAAGAATATTTGCAAACACCATCGAAAATTGAAGAACAATGGGCAATGCTAAGAAATTATACGAATCAAAATAGTTCAACATCAATCGCTGAACAAGAAAATAATAGAAATAAGAATCGCGATCAAAAATATCTTCCATGTATTTTCTTTTACTATTATTAAAAAATTATCATTGATAATTTATAATTCATCAATAATTAAAAATTACCTATGATAATTTGATAATTCGAAATTTTCTCATTTAATTAAAAATTTTAGATAATGAAACATTGGTTCATTTGAATGCACCAACATCGGATCCAATGGTTTCGACATATATTAACGCCTCTACTATACATGATAGTGATCCAAGACAAGCGAATTATATAGCGACACAAGCACCGCTTCCAAATACTATCGATGATTTCTGGCAGATGATTTGGGAACAAGTAAGAGGATTAGCGATTAAAGGATTTATTTTATTACTGCATTTTTTTGATGGGTTTTAAAATGAATATTATAAGCGGGTTTAATCCGATATCAAACACAAAAGAAAATTAACAAAATTAAGAATTCTAAAATATATCACAAAAAAATTTATCTTAGAAAATTTAAAAATTTAAAATTAAAATACGAAAAACGCATTAACGCATAGAATAAAAAATTAGCAAAAGCAAAATGATAGCAAAATTAGTGATAAGAAAATTAGCAAAATGATTTGCAAATTTAAGGGTGCAGTTCTTATTGTGAACTTAACTGATGCGAACGATAACAATGAAGGACGTTGCGTACGTTATTGGCCAGAAAATGGTTCACATGTCTATGGCTCATATGAGGTAAAATATTTCGAAATATTTTCATGGACTTTTTTTTTATATTTTATTTTAGTTTTTTTTTTTAGTAAATCCATGTAAAATATAATTTTATATTTATAAATTATATAAAATATAATTTTATATGGATTTACTAAAAAAAATTATCTCTAATATTTTACTGGTAATATTTTTTTTTTAGATTCATCTCGTCTCGGAACATATATGGAGCGAGGATTATCTCGTTAGATCATTTTATCTGAAAAATCTCAAAACCAATGAGACACGAACTGTGACGCAATTTCATTTTTTGACATGGCCACAAAATGAAGTTCCATTATCATTCAAAGCAATTCTAGATTTCCGCAGGTTATTGTATTTTCACCGTTAAAAATATTATTAAATAATATTAAAATATTAAATAAATAAATAAATTAAAAGAAGTAAGCATGGATTTGAAAAAAAAAAGCATTATTTCTATTGGACTTCTTTTTCGATTCTTATTTTTGTTTTTATTTTCCATTGTATTTATTATTAATTTATATTAATCGTTTCGTGATTTGTCGCCTCATGCAAAAGCTGCTTTTCATTCCCAATCGTTTCATTCTCTCTCGTTAATAGGCACGTATTTCGGTCATCATTTTTGTGAATGAGCAATTTTGAGTTTAAGTTCAATTGCATAGTCACAAAAGTGATGGATGCGATGCGTCGTCGTTCATTTTTTGCATTACCCTTTAATTTTCCGTATTTCGCATTTCATTCCGCTTCCTCCTCGAATTTATTCTCATAAGGCAATGCACTTGTGTAATTTTGCATGAATTTGATAATTTTTGATAATTGAATTCGATAGCATTTATTATGTATTTTAAATTTTGTATATTTATTATGTATACTTCTAATACTTCTAAAATATAATTATTGAAAAAAAATATAATTATAATATAAAATTTAAAATATAATTTTATTTAAAAAAATTGAAATTATAAAAATTGTAACTATAATTTAAAAATTGTAACTAAATTAATAAAAATTGCAATTAAGAAAGAAAATTTAGTTTATTTAGAATATTTACAATATTTATCACTAAAATGAAATTTTTAAAGATATTGTCACCTATTTTCTAAGCTTTACTTTATTAAAAACTAATAGAGTAATTGAAAATTGTTGAATCAATCAAAATATCAAAAAAAAGCTTAATTGGATAAATATTCTAGAAAGGTGAATAAATCATATCACGGTCGTGCAGCACCACTAATAGTACACTGCACCAATGGATCTGGTCGCACCGGTGCTTACTGTCTCTTGGATATCGTACTCAACCGCATTTCTAAAGGTTTTGCTTAATTTGAAATAGGCAAAGAAAAGGATCGATATGAAAATTTGTCGATAAAAATGTCTCATTTTATACGACCATCATAAATTAATTTCAAGAGATAAAAGAGCTGTTGATGAAATTTTTTTCATATATGGTTCCACTCATTACTAGGATGAAACATATCCCTTTCGGTGGAAAGTATTCAGAAGCTAATCTCTATCAGAATTTCATCTAATAAGCTTCTCCTTATCAAGAAATAAGCCCATATTTGCTTTGCAACCTTAACTAATGCAACTTATAAGATAGCATCTGTATAAAATAAAATACTGATAAAATTATGTAAACAAAAAAAAAAAATTAATTTGAGCAAATTTCATTGTGAAATTGCTGATAAAATTGATAAAAATTAATGGAAACATAAACTGATATGAACTGATAAAATATTAAATAAGCGATAAAACTTAAGTGAATCTTAGGAATAAAAGAACTAAACATCGCTGGTTCTTTGGAATTTCTACGCGATCAACGTGTTGGAATGGTCGAATCCGATAAACAATATAAAATGGTGTTTAGTTGTCTCGCCGAAGAAGTAACCACAATGGTAAAAACTCTACGACAATAAACAAAAAAAACCAATTCTATTTTTTTATATGGGAAAGAAAAAACTTTAATTATTATTTAAGAAATATTTTCTAATGAAATAAATTCGAATAAATAAAAATATTTTATTAAATATTTTAAAAATAAATTTTATGCACCATTTTTCTTTTTGTGTAAACTCTTTTTTGCTTTTTATTATTTATTATTTGATTAATTTTCAAAGCAAAAAAAAATTTTTCTCGAGATTTTTTCAATTTTTTTTTAGAGATTTTCCAAAAAAAAGTGTGCGTTCATTTCCTTTTTTTTTTAAAAATATCAATTCTGGTTTCGCCACTAAATCATTGAAAATGGATGAAATTTTCACCAAAGAGCCACTTGCAAATAGAGAAAAAAGTGAAGAAGCTTTTTTTTTCAATTTTTTAATTTCAATTTCAATTTTTACATCAAATTTATCAGAGAGTTTTATTGAAAAAAAAAAAACCGAATTCATCTCGATTTTCTTAAATCCTTAAAATAAGTGCCATAAAATAAGCCTCAACGAGGACAAAGGAAATTTCTATGGATAAGAATTATGGCTTCTGCACAGTTTCTGAAAGTTTTCCCGAAAATAATAAAGAGTGACAATTTTTCTAACAAATTTTGGAAAATATTTGCGATGGGGAATGATGGAATTCCTTTCACTGTCTGTAACCTAATCGAAATAAAACATAAAATTCTCATGTCAAAGAATTGTGGTATCAATCACCTCGATTGTGAAAAGAGGTTTGGTTCATAATTTGTCCAGATGGTTCGTCCGCGAACCGTGTGATTTTAGTGGTTTATGTATGGCTGAGGTTAGTGCGGTACAATGAGGTGTGAATGAGAGGTGTACGGTGGAGTTTGGTTCGGTTTTCTTAAATACGTGGCAAGAGATGGAGGTCACGTATGACATCGGCATTCGATCATAATAAGTAGCATAACACGTTCCTTTAAGTATAATAAATATTGAAATTGAAATTGATTAAATATTTATAAATTCGTAGTCATCTTTGCTTATGAGATTTACTAATATTTTAACTTAGTATATTTTTTACACAGTAACACAGTTTTTTATACATGTGAACGTGAGATTTGTGGCACTTTGATTTACACGACACGATAAACGTGATACAACACGTACGTACGAAGGGCACGAATATACAGTTTATTTGGAAATGAACTCCACGAGTGAAATATCTGAAAGTGAAGTAGGCGCTTGAAGCGTCTAATTAGCAGAGAACACGTAAAATACACGTAAAATACTTGAAGCACATTTGGAAGCAAATGATAAGTCACATATGAAACACGAGAAATATTAATTTGAATGATAAACGTACGTGATATCACACTTGCAACTAAACATGGCACACAGTGAAAAACACCAATTATATTACACCTTACGTGACAAAGTACACGTACAAAAAACGTAAGGCACATCAGGCCACATCCAGGTTAAAATCGCACACGCCCATAGAATTTTAAACTGTCGGGGCACACTAAAATGCAGCTTTCGTAATTTTAACCGCGGAAAATATACATATATATACATCTCATTTCTAATATTTTCATTTAAATAACTGTTATATTGATATTTGGATTTGAATCCTGGTAAAAAAGTGGATCTTTTATCAGGAATGGAATGTGAGCGTCATATGGGTACCAGCCTGGTGGTGCCAACGACTTATGGGTACCAATTCTGTTCCCAAATACTTGCTCAAAAGATTCCCATATTGAAAATCTGGAATCAGCCGAGTCAAAAATGCCTATTAAGAAGATATTATATTTAATAAGCGATTTATCTCGGTAATATATTTATATTACTGATTCCAGTTTTTTTTTCGAAATTGATTCTAAAAATTTCGTTGGTACTTTCAATTTGTCATACTAGATGTCATGTTTTAGGCCTTAATAGGCCTCCGTGGTGTCTTCAAATGGAAGGGATGTGAATCCGCATTTCTATCCGTATTTCTGATGCCTCTTTAATAAAAACTGTACTAACAGTCAGCCAACAAGTAGTAATCTCTTGGGCTCAGTTTCTTTGATAACTCTACATTGAATTACTCAGTTTCTCCTTTCACTTCATATATAACACGTGCGTGGTGTTAATATTGTACAGGCCTAATATTTGATTCTTCTCTTGTCGTGCCTTAGGTGCCTTAGGCTTGGTTTGGTAGTTTCAAATAGCTCTATACTTATAGATTGCAGTTTCCATGTGCAGAAACCCATCTAACACGATAGATCTAAACGAAAGGTCGTTAACAAACGAGTATAATGAAACGGAAGCTCATATACTTTATAAGTAAATAGAAATTGAAAGTTTTTCGTAGCTAATTTTTAAGAAATATTAAATAATATTTCTTAAAAATAATGATGTAAATAGAAATATTAAATATTAAATAAATATTCGTTCAATACTCTTAAAAAAAATTTTTAAAATTTTCAATTTTAAAGTTTCAAAATTTTTTTATGATTCATTTTCTTTTTTTTATTAGCAATTTTTCTTTTATTTTAAATTATTTTTTCCGTTTTTTTAGGTTTTTCATTTACTAGGAAAAAGAAATGAATATTCCATCAGTGTTTGAGATTGGCTGGAGTGATTTATTGGTAATAATTTTCATTGTTGTCATTTTATACCGATTTTTTATAAAAAAAACTGAAATTCGCTTACCTGAAGTGAAACAATTAGCGCCGATGCGAAAAAGAGACTTTACGCTTCGGCAACTTCGTGAATTTAACGGAAACGATAATGAACGGATATTGCTTGCTATTTGCGGCAGAGTAAGCTTCTTTTCTTACTTTTTTTTTTATATATTTCAATAATAGTGTATTTGAATCAGTTATGAATTTTGCTAATTTAAGCATATTGGCCATATTGCTCGTTAATGCGGTAAATTTTTGGCTCGTCCTTGGAATGTTCGTTCAAGAAAATTACTCGCTTGTTCCTCAAATAATCGTTTGAAAAATATCCATTTAAAAAATGAAATAAATATTTAGAATTTTTAATATTTTATACTTTCGAATAAATGTATTATTTATTATTTTTGCAGGTTTTTGATGTGACCCGAGGTAAGGATTTTTATGGTCCTGGAGGTCCTTATGGCATATTAGCTGGTCGTGATGCGACACGTGCTCTAGCGACAATGCAGTTAGAACATGTCAGTGATGATTATGAAGATTGGAACCAGTTACCTCAAGCAGAAAAAAGTGAAGCAATGGAGTGGTGCCAGCGTTTATCACGTGCGTTTATCATCATTTAATTATCATTTTCATTATTAATTACCTTTTTATTTGTTATGATGTTTGATGAAATATGAATTGATTTAAAAAATATGAACACTTTATTTGGTATTTTTAATTAATTTAAATAAAAATTTGTTGGTAAATAAAATGAATTTTATGATAATAATGATATTAATAACAATTGATCATGCATTGCATTTAAATTTATAAATTTTCTTGTAGTTAAATATCCACAAGTTGGTCGTTTAATTGCTGATAGTGATACTCCGTTGGATTATAATGACGAATTGGCATCGCTGGATCCTTTCTAGTTTTTTGGGTTGATTTTTTATTTTATAATAGGATTTCACATTATCACTTAATGAGTTTTGTCGTGATTTATTATTATTTGCTCAGTTCGCGCCTATCTTGTCCATATCATTGATATCTTTTTTATAACTGCATTCACCAATTTTGGTTTTGCTGGATCAGGTTTTTAGATTCATTAGCCAGAGAATTATTTGATGGATACAAGGTTTATTTTAAAAAAAGTTATTAAATATTCTTAGATTTTTTTTCGAATAGCTGCATATCTGAAATCTGATAGAAATTGAATCAGTCCAATTCTTCAGAAATCGTTTAAACCAATGAAATTAAATTTTTTGGATATTTTTTGGATATGCTAAAAAAAACTATTAACGGCATTTAAGATTGCAATTAAGGTTGCAATTTATGTTCTTGTTTTTTTATTTCTTGATATTTTGTTTTATTTGTTTAATAAAAATTATTATGCTATATGTTATGTACTTGTAATAATCGCTTTGGTACCTTTCCATCCAATAATATTTCTAAGCTTATTGAGAATTCATGGAATGGTATATTAGGTAAGAGATTTTTAAAAGATAAAAATCTGTGAACAGTTTATTCAAGGTTATTCTTTGTCACTTTCTAAAAAGTTTAGGGTAGTATTGAGTAAAGTTTATGTATTTTACTGGTTTCAAATTGTAAAACAAAATTCCTCGGAATTTTTAAATTGTGTGGGAATTTTTAAATTGTGTAAATTGTAAGCAAAGAACATATAATGCTCACTTGCAGAATTTGTTTGTTTTGTTATTATAAAGGATTTATGGGGTTTCGGGAAAATTCTATTTTCGCAATTACATTTTTTATTTACAGTTTTTTAAAAATGGCTTTCATGTATCCAATACATTTTCCGTCCGTTCCATTACGTTGGGATGAATCAATTTGGACATCAATTCTAAATAGTGAAGAAGAAGAAGCATTAATCACAAATTTAGAAGCGAGAATCATCGCTCGAGTTGGTTTTTCTTACTTCTTTCAATTTTACTTTGGTTATCTTTTTTTTTTAAGTGAGAAATTTTTCTAGAGTGAATCGTATCAACTACGTAATTTGCCAAAAAGTGTTTGCGGCCAAGTACACGAATATGATGATGAAATGGAAGATGATGACGAGCATGATGACGAGGATATGGGCGAATTAAGTATTTAATTTCCGACTTTAGTTTACAAGAAGTTTCTAGCAGTCACTTTAAAAATATGCATTAAAAAATATTCAAAAATACATGAATATATTTTTAAAAAATATTTCATAAAATTTTGTATTATAACAATGGTTTTGGATAAACTGGGAGGGAAGCACGCATCATTCTAATTATTAGCCTTTTGCTTGCGATATAGTTATTATAATTTCAAGAACAAGGATTTTAATTTTTTACACTTCTCATTCAATATTTTTTATTTTTCCTTTATTTTATATTTTATTTCAATCGTCCATTATTATTATTATTATCATTATCATTATCATTATTATTGTTATTATTATTATTACTATTGTTTTTTATTTTGTGCAACTAACAAAGAATGAATATAAATTTTACGAGCGAGAAATAAATTTGAAACAATAAAATGAACAACATAACTCGACATAAATTAGTCGTAAAGTATTATTGTAAATAATAAGAAATCTTCGTTTCAAATATTTCATCATTTATTGCTAACGAACAATTAAAATGGTCGAAAAGGATGAATAGAAATGAAGATATTATTCAATATTTACCAATATTCAACTTGAAATTTTTCAAATAATTTTTTTTTTTTTTATTCGTAAATTTTCCTAATTTAAATTATTTAGCATAAACTACGATTTAAAAAAAAAAAATTCGATCATAAATTTATTATGAGGGCACACTGGAAAGAATTGAATGAAAACAAAACAGAGCTAACGATTGATTATTTGGAATTTAAAATAAGATTATTTTAAATTGCTGAATCAACTGATGAAGTACGATTATGAAATTGGCCCTTAAGCGTTACGAGTCGTTCATTTTCAGCTAACATTGGATCATGATTAACGCCATAAATTTTAATTGCTTTGCGACCCATACGTTGCAATAATTCCGATGAAACTCGATGAGCTGTACGTAACGATGTGTGCCATTCTCGAAGCGATATTTCATCCTATAAATACCTCAGTTTTATTTTATTATCTATCGCAATTGATAATCGAAAAAAAATTTTTTTTTTTTCTGCTTTATTGAGTAAAATTTATACAAGTAGAAATAGAATTTTTTTCCAAATAGTTATTTGGCAATTAATTTCAGAGAAATTATTTGCACTGAGAAATTCACGCCTATCAAGCAAACAAAATTAAAATCAAAGTCTATACTGATAATATCCCAGTCGAAGTTATAAGTTGATTGGTATAGAAAATCCAGAGGTTTAGGTTTAAATTTATTAGGTAAGTATGAAGAGGATATCAATTTACTGAGGAAAATATGGAAAAGAAAAATAATGGTATTAATTTCTGACTTGGTTCGTGAGTATCACTTTAGTTTCCTTTAGACCTTCTTTTAATTTTAGTACTATCGAATTTTCGCCTTTAACGGAATGTAATTCAGTGGCGACATCTTCGATTTGATCCATGAATACCAACTGAAAATAATTTTTTTCACAATCATATTTTATTATTATTGTTATTATACAACCAGTTTAATAATTTAGAATATTGATAAGTTAACTGATAAAGAAGATAATAAATGATCGATGTCTTAATAGAAAATTTATTCCATCATTAATGAAAAAAATAGCAAAAATAAGCAAAATTTTTGAAAAAGCAGAAAGAAGCACAAAATTAAATACTACCTCAGGTTTACCATTAAATGACTCAGGATGCAGTTCTAAACGACTTGGGTACAGCTTTCCATATCGCGTTTGCCATGCGGATGTAAATGGACCACCTAACTTCTTGATATAGCCATGTACGATAACATCAGAATCTAAACAAAATTTCAGTTCACTAATAATTTATGGTTTTTGTTCTTCTAACCATACTACAGTTGCTCAAAAAAATTGTAAAGCGATTAGCTAACTGCTTTTTAACGAAGAATAAATTTTTATGCCTATCAAGAACTGATACAAATTGATATAATCAGAAATGGCTTCTATTAATATTAGTGATGGCGCCGGATCGAACAGCTTATAAAGGCCTTAATTTTGTGGACCTATCGAATCACTAATGGTTGAGAGCTGTTGGAAGAAGAAGAAGAAAAAGCCTAACTGCTTTATCATTTTGCTTTATCATTCTGTTTTATCACTTTCTACTTACTAAAAAAAACTAATTTTTAAGATTACTAACCTTTTTCATCGATATTTAATTTTGCCTTATGCTTTGCACGTCGTTTATTTTCAGCTTTGTCTGCATCTTGATTCACAACTTCGAAAATTGTATCTGCTATTTCATTTTGCCATCGTTCCGATATAATTATATTAAAATTCTTATATAATTCATTATCTGCTTCAGTTAACTAAAAAGAAATAAAAAATAATAAATAAATAAATAAAAATAATCGAATTAAATTTTAAAAAAATATATTTAAAAAAAATACCTTAACATTTTTCACTTCGTCGTCATCAAAATTGCCTATATCGAATGCATCCGCAGCATTCACCTCACCACGTGGCGGAATTAATGGTGGTGGCATTCGTCTCAAATATATTGTTTGCCAGTCTATATTTGTAAAAAACGGATGTTCTTTAACTTCAAGCGGTCTATAAAATTAAATTATTTATTTGGATTTAACGATAGAATTAGAAAACTTGAAAAAAAAAAAGATTATCAAATGAGTTGTTTCTGGGTAGCAATTCTATTCCTCGCAAGTGAATATAAATTTGTCTACCAAAAAATTCGAATGCCATTGGCAGTTCACTTGTAATTCTATTAATAAATGATTCTCTTGCGAAATTTGTCCGATGCGAAAAGCCAGCGAGACGAGTTTAGCCAAGGAAGACCAAGCGTTCATAGAAAAGAAGTAAAACAAAAGAAATACCCTCTTCCTCGACATCCAAGTCTCTCATGAACATCCTTTTTTAATAAAGCTTCCAATAAATTTCTGCATTCAGGTGAAAATCCACCATCAGGTAATTCAATATCTTGAGTCATTGTAAGTTTATCGATATCATTTTTATCCTGAAAACGACTCTTTCTTATAAAAATGAATTGGGAAAAGGACCACTGAAAATGCAAATGGCCTTTTGTGGATTTTAAATAGAAAATAACAGCCCCGCGCTATTCCATCCACTTATGCCACTATTCTTGATATAAATCAACTGGACAATACAGGCCAATAGCAATATAAAAAAGATTATCTTTTGGAGAAATAAGGATAAGCGTAATAATGATAACTCTATCGCCTATTTATCTAATAGCTAATGAAAGGATAAATTATGGTAAAATTATGGAAATTAATAAAATATTAAAATAAAATAACCTTAGTTTTAAGTTGTCGAAAAGGACTATGACCTTTTAATAATTTATATAACATGCAACCAAATGAAAACCAATCTGCAGATGAATCATAAGCGATTCCTTTGGCAAGCACCTCTGGAGCCATATACCCGTGTGTGCCTCTAAAAGAAAAATTCTCGTCATCCAGTGGCTTATATCTATAAATCCGCTATAATCTCTTTCTGGTTATATGATCTCTATTTAAATTAATTATATATATAAATTATAGGATTAATAATAAATATATAAATATATTACTATCAATGAATTAATTAAAAATTGACTAACCCGCTTAAGTGGAATAATCATTAACTTTTTTTCTATCAAAAATATTAGCCAGTGGCATTTTATTAAATTTAATCGTTTTGGATCTTTGAACTACCCGAAAAAATATCTCAATGGCCAGCCGAACATAGCCTTTTTCCTATTTTAGGCCAATTCAAATAAACAAGAATTTCACCCAGGTCGAAGAAATCTGTTCGATGACCATCTTGTCTATTAATTAAAATAAGAAATAAGAATAATTCAAAAGATAAAAGTATTAAATTCAAGTCTTACACACTAGCGTGAGGTTTTTTTTTCGAAAAATCACAAGCTAGACCAAGATCGGATATTCTTATATGGCCATTCTCATCTAATAAAATATTTGCTGGTTTCAAATCACGATATACGATGAATCTATTATGCATATGTTCAAGGCCAAGAATAACTTCAGATGCATAAAAAATCATTTCACTTTCTGAAAAAAATTTTATTAATTTTTATAATTTTATATTTGAAAAAGAGAAATTCTAAAATTTTAGAAATTTTAACGAAATAACGAAATAAATAATTTACAATAATTTATTAATAAAACAATAATATTATCAACAATAATATTGAAGAATATTTTAAAGGCATAAAAATAATAATTTAAAATATATTTCACTTAAAAAAAAAAGAATTGGAAAAAAGATTGAATTCTGTTCGAAATTATTCAAAGAATGAAATTCGTAAAAATTAATTAAAATAAATTAAAATTATAATTTATAAAATATTTCAGATAAATTAATTTAAATAATAAATTAAAATTATAAATTATAAAATATTTCAGATTTAAACAATAATACTATTACATTAATTATTTATATTATTATTAATTAATTATAAAACTTATAAAATTATACGGGAAGAAAAAATTTGGTGAAAAATGCGAAAAGACAGATAATTACCTGAAAAAACGCCATGTTGACTAAGGTGATAATGTAAATCGCCTCCATTCATTAAATCCAAAATAAAGCACAATTTATCAGGCGATTGAAAAGCATATGTCATACAAACAATGAACGGACAGTCCTGCTAGAAAAAAATTTTTTTATATTTTTATTCTAATTTTTTTAAAATTTTAAAATTTAATAAATTTAAAATTTATCTTTAAAATTTTTTTTTTAACTTTATTGAATCAAATCAAACTGGTTTAGTAGGCTACTATAATCATTTTAAAGCGCCATTATCAGGACTTTTGCATTCGACAAGCGAAATCTTATATGGCGAGCCACGTGCATTTATGCAGCCATATTCATTCTGGCAAAAATTCTCGCCTGGTTAGATAAGCAAGATAAGCAAGTCTCACCAGGAATGGTGATGCTATTTAACCTATCCAAGAAACCTAATGGTTCAATGATATGATCTAAATAAAATGAAATCCCTGAGCTACGGCTCATTCATGCAAATCTAGTAATTTGCACCAATTTTTTTTCGTCGCTCAAGATACTTTAGTGAGTAACAGAATCCTCTAACAGCTATCAGCTTTCACTGACGGCGAGAATGGAGTGTTTCCAAGTTCCGATGCCGTACATCAGATCGAGTAACTCAGTACCAGAGTAATTCTACTCTAAAATTACTCTTTTTTCCACCAAGTTCAGTGATCAACCGATAGAATATATTTAAATTTAATAATTTTCATTTAGCATGAAATTTTCAATAATTTTAAAAAACTCAAAAAGAATTAAAAAAAGAAAAATATAAAAAAAATATTTGTTTGATGAATAATTTTACTTACTCCATTACTAACAAGACTCAACATAATACGTTCATTAAGTGCGAGGGTTTCGCCTTGTTTTAATTTTATTCTTTTTTTATCCAAACATTTCATTGCATACCTATGAGATGAAAATATCAATAATAAAAAAAAGAAGGAAAAACGAAAGCTAGTAGGAATTATTTTATTCCAATCTAATATTGCTGATAAAAAATGATAAATTGATAACTTGATAAATAATGATAAATTTATATACATTTTGCCTGTATCCGCTTTTCGACATCCGTAAACTTCACCAAAACCGCCACGACCAATTATTCGATGCACAGAAAAATCATTCATCGTTAGTTGCATATTCAATTCTAAATTCTTCCACTGGCAAAATCTCGTGAATTTATCACTGAAATTAATTTAATTAATTTTAGAAATAATATTTTAAGTGATAAAAAAAAAATTTTTCTTCCCATTTAAGCCATTCATCACGAAATTCTTTGTGATGTATTGTGTGCTTTTTTTTTCTTTTTCCCAACATCACACAATCTATTTTTCAATCTAACTGATTTGGCTGATTTGATTTCACCGGTTGCTATATTGAAATTTTTTCTTACTTGGAAGATAAAAGTGCAAGTAATTAGCAGAGTTTTACTTTTTTAATGCAAAGTTTAATCCTCCCAGAAGATAGGGATTGAATCCCCTTAGCTCACCCACAGCAAAAAATGAATACAATATGATCAATAAAGATATTTTTATTTCCGGAAATGACAATGTTTTACTAGAAAAATTATAGTAATTGAAATGCAATAAACAATTTCGATAATAAAGAACTTTTAAAAATAATTTTCAAACATTTGCTATAATATTTATAATTGATTTTTACGACAACAAATCATTCATAGCGGGGATATATTTTATATATATTTTAAATATATTTTCAATATTTTAATCTAATATATATATTTATAAATATTATAAATATCTAATATATATTTATAAATATTGATTTCACCAAAATTAAATGAATGAATTGTTTATTGTTTATTTCAATACCAACCAAGCAGATGAAAATTAAATTAAAAACAAAAAAAGAAAATATAACAAAAAATTAATAAAGAAGAATCAAGAAGAGTTACAAAATAATACAACTCGAAGTGAATGTATTACTTACAAGTAATCAAATAGTAAAAATCAAGACTTCAAACTTCCTACATGATGTAAGTTTTTTAAATAATATCATAAATATAATATAATAGTATCTAATCATTTTTTAAAAATAGGTAAGGATGACGCACAAACTACATCGTTCAGTATTTTATTCCAGTAATTGGTAGTACGAAGTTATGAGTCCTTAGTTAAGTTTTGCATTTAGGTTTAAATAATTTTAGCCTATTAGATTTTCTTGGGTCCAAATTTAACATGAAAATATAATATTTTGAACAATCTAAATTAGCATAACCATATAGAATTTTGTATATTAAATTATAGATTAAATCGTGTTTAATTCAATACATTGAGAGGGAATGCAGGTTGTACTGCTGAATTTGTGCTTTATAAATTAAAATTGTTATTAGGAGAGAGGCGACTTGTAAGAAATTTCTGGAGCCCTTTAATCATTTTAGTTAATTTGGGGTATCTCGGGGAGTAACAGGCAGAACTGTAGTCAAGAAGAGACCGAACGAACACTGCATATTATGATAAGAAAACCTTCAGTTTTATTCTCAAATGAACGAAAGATGAAATTTAGTATTTTCGAGGATTTCTTTACTATGATTCTGAAGTGAAGGTCGTAGCCAAGACTTTCATCCATGATTATGCCATTTATGTAAATTTTTATTTAATTGCAATGAAGAACGAAGAAGAAATAAATGAAGCAAACAAGATCTTTGATGTTATTGGGGGTCAAAGGCCAGACACATTTCGAAAATTTTTTTTTAGCAGAAAATTCAAACTGAACCTTTCAAGGAATTTTTGAAAGACATCACTTTTGAGTTGCTCACATATTTCAGCCACGTATAACTGAAAAATAACTTAAAATATGAGCCGTTTAGAACTTTTATAAATATAATTAAATTAATGTAATTAAACCAATTATTTCATAATAATAATATACTTAAACTAATTTAAACAACTTCATTTCTTTTTTTCCAATTTTGGTACCAAACCAGAACTATTTAAAATTTGCTGTTTCTTAAGCTCAATTAAAATTTATAATGAAGCGATTTACACCAAATAATTATTACACTAAAAAAATTTTATGAAACAAATAAAAATTAAATTGGTTTTAGAAAAAATTAAATTGGTTTTATAAAAAAATCAATGATATCTAATAAGATTTGAAATAATTTAAGAAAAAAATTTTGATTAAAAGAAATAAATCTTTTAATAAAAAAACTTTTTAAAAAATCGTTTTTATTTTTAGTTAATTAATATATTTATTGAATATTTATTTAATTAATATATTGAATATAATTCCTTTTTTTATATTTTTACTAGTCGGGCCGTAAGGCTATATTTTGAACTTTCAGTTAATTTTTATTTAAATTTAAATAAATTTCTCTAATTTCTTATTTCTCTAATTATAATCAGAAATATTCCATAACTTTGAAAAAGATTTTAAAAAATCCATTCAGCGATTCATTAATGATTAAAAGTGAAAAATAAATGAAATATTACTTAAAACAGGATAATAAAATGATAATAAATTTATAAAATCGCGAGATTTGAGAAAAACTTAGAAATTTCGTAAATATTTTGAAAAATTATTTATTTGTTGAAATTATCTAAATATAAATTAAATTATTATTCACTTAAAAATGATTTAAATATAAATTATTATAATGAAACATAAAAATTACTATAAAAAAATTAAAATAATTTTAATTTTGATTTTAAAATAAATAATTTTAATATAATTAAAATAAAATTAAAATAAAATAAAAAAATTAAAAAAATAAAATCAAATTTTTTTATTAAAAAAAGAATTGTGACAGATAATAAAAATAATAAAAATAAATGTAAAAATTACAATTTAAGAAAAATTAAAAATTGAAAAATTAAAGGATAAAGAAAATTAAAATTTTCCCCTTCGCAGTTCTCATTCTATTTTACTTTTAATTCATTTCAATTAATTATAGGGAAAATCTCATTTGAAAAGCAGAAAAATCGAAATAAAATTTAATGAGTAAGGAAAATGATTTTTAAAATTTTTTATTTTTCGTAGAAACCTTCAATTATTTTCATTGAAAAAGTAAAAGAGCAAATTAAGAAATAAGTAATCTAATTAATAAATTTAAAAATAAAAATTTGCAAAAAAAATAAACTTGAAAGAGGTTCGGAGAAGCAGTATTCTTCATTAAATTTCGTTGAACATATTGTAAGGATTCTTTAGAATAATTCTGAAAATAACTTAAAATAATAACATTTACCAATCACCTAATATATTTATTCTTCTAATGGTACTTATTATTTTTAGTTTAGTCATTTTCAATCATTAAGATGTAGGAGGATTCTTTTGCTAGGCAATTATTCGAGGATATAGGCGCAAATAAGGCTATTAGGCATAGAAACTTGAGTAAATCTTTTTGAAGCAAGATGAGCCATATTTGCCATTGTGATATATTGAACAAAATACTGTCATGGATTAAGGAAAAAATACAAAGAATAACCCAGAGAGATTAACAATTAATGTCATAGAAAAGTAAATTTTATTATAGTAATCCTTGAATTTTAACAAGTTTTTGTAAAAAAGTGCTAAATACTCTCGTAATCGTTGTTCTTCAGTGAAATATCTACGTTCGAATTTTAATAAAATACAAAATTCATTATTTTGCTGAATTCATTTTTTTAATTTAAAAAACGAGACATGAAAACATTACACGATATTTAATTATTCAGTAAGTTATAATGAAATAAATCCCTTAAAATATCGACAATTCGTAGGTAAATAAGCACAGGTAAGTAAGCATTAATGCATATCATTCCTGATTAGATTCACTCCACTGGTTATCAATTTAATGAGAAATTTTTTACTAGAGAATAATTTAGGGAAAATAGGGGAAGCCATTACTTGTTCGGATTTTTAATGATAGATTTATTTCAACCAAAGATAAATTACAGATATTTTGGATGCGATAACTATTCATCAATCATACTTATGAATGCATTACATTGTTTTGCACTGTAATCACTAAATAATCACTAAATGTTATCACTAAATAATTTTTTTTGCTAACGATGAAGATAAAACATACATGGGAATGAGCAAGCATTTCTACCATGATATGATGATCGTAAATTTCTCGAGCTTTCACTAATCGTTCTTCTGGCGTTTCCATTTTTTCGTATTCTTTTATCTTAATAAAATTTCTACTCTATTTTTTTTTCTATTATAATTATAAAATATAAATAATAATGTAAAAAGTAAAATTTAAAAGAAACGAAAATAATTTGGTCTTTAATGTCGTGCTTATGCCAATTTACTGCATATCATATCAATCTACATCACTTACTGCTTCGTAGAATCTGATCTGTGGGCAAGAAGTATTGGAGATATTCTCGGCAAAATCCTTCAATAATAAAAACCCTAGACGCTGATTGAAAATTCGCTCGAATTTTATTTCGCCAGTTTTTTCCAAATACCTCTGCATTATACTTCGAACGCTAAAATTTTCCTATATTAATCCATCATCTTATTCTTATTTGAAGGATTCTAAAAGCCTTCTGGTTTAGCTGTTGGTTTATCTATTGCCTATTATTAGGTCCCCTCCCCACCCCCCTCCCCCATGCTAAAAAAGGGATCATTTGGTAATGCAGAAATACAGATGATAGCTCGAATTTCACTTTTAATGATAGTTTTACCTCTGTTGATTGATAGGAATTATGATAATCCACCATTAAAACGTTAAATAAATAGATATTTTTTTGTTAAATAGAAATTTGTCAGGATTATAGTTAATCTTAAGATTACAAGTAATTAATTTTAGGATTATAATTAATTAATTAAATGTTTTTCACACCAATTCATTCATCAATTATTTTAGAAGTCCTAAAATTTTTTAAAATTAATAAAAAAAACCTTGGATCTGGTAAAATGATTTTCTTCGATGCTCTTGCTGCTGGTTGGGTTCTCGATTTTTCCATAGCCATAAGATAGCTGACATCCGCAAGAACCGCTTCGAGGTCCGCCATCGTTCAAAATTACTCGGCGTTGGCGCATAACCCAAGCAAAATATAGTTAAATGCTTTTTTAATTCGATATTTACTTCCAATATTTTTTTGCTAAAATATTAAATATATTTAATTTAATTTATTTTTGTCTATTACAGCATAATCGTATTCGAAATTAACGTGTAATTTTT